CAGCGCGCTCTGGGGCCGCTCGGGTCCGCCCCACACAGCGGCTGCTCCTTCACGCGCCGGGATGGAACCGGCTTTAACTCTCGGAGGCCAGACTCGGGGAGGGTGGCCTTTCCATCGCCATCCACACTTTCCGGCCGAGCCCGAGGAAATTCAGACCCATCTCTGACTGCTGGTGGTCGTGCAGCTGAAACTCCAGATTTTCCGTGCACAGTAAATCCAGGAGCTGCTGGCTTGGGACTTGTGGCCTAGGTGATGACTTATCTCTGGATGAGTCAGAGGCCAGTGGCCGTCTCGGTGGTCAGCGACCCCTCCCGGGGGGTTTGCATGCGACGCCCCAGCCAGGTCAGAGCACGTGCTCATAAGTGAGTCAAGTCCTGTTTCGGCGTCCCTTGAACTTCGGACCTGTGACCCTCTCCCTCCCTCCCCCAGCCGCCGAGCTCACCAGTTTTCTGTAGGACTTGTTTTCGTTATTTGTGAGACCCTCCCCCACGCAAAGAGAAGTCCAGAATATAGCATCCCAAAAGGCCATTCATTTGGGCTGAGAATCATTTTCGGGGCTATAATTACTTTTATGATAGTGTGTTTTGGGTACACAAAAGCGGCACGGATCAAATAGTTTGGCGCATTAGTGAAAGAGTGAATACGTGTAGATCCACACCCCTTCCCTCTTCCCGGGCGGCTTTTCAATCAAACATAATAGAGAGGAAATTCTTTGGCCTTTGGTTCCAACTGGGTAATCCGAGTTATCTGAAAACAAGAGGGAAGAACAAACCTGGGGGGACTGACAACAAAAGGGAGATAGGGAAGTGAGAGAGTCGGAGGAGAACGATTCACTGAGAGCCTCGTTAGAAAGTGGAATATAGTGAATATTCCATGAAGTGGAGAACCTTTTCTGTGTGACTGCCTTAACCACTAAGAGAAAGTTGGAGAAATAGGGAAGATATTGTATCTGTGCGGAACAAATGGAGGGTAGAAAGTAGGTGAAAGGAAAACTTGAGAAGAACATCTTGAAGAAATAGTCAATTTAATGCCCTTGGTAGAATCTTGGAACCATAAAAATAATTCTCCATGCTCATTACTACAACTTTTCATCAAAATAAGGCATTTGGCTGTCTATGTGAACACCAGTTTTGAACATAATTGGTAATTTTGTTCAGTGTAAACCCAGGGCTAGTGAAATAATGAATAGTTGCTGGATATAAGTGAATATTTCTTGCAAGAGTACAATGAAAAAAACTTTACAAAGATATACCGCCATGTCTGACCTGTGGATTTAAATAGGGTAGGCCACCTTAGATTCCTGTTACCTTCAGCAGAAAGCTTCACTCTCACTTACAAGAGACTGTACAGTGAAGACCTCTTTTGGAGTTCAGACTAGATGTGATCCAGATGTGTGTTTATCATTTAGTTGCAATATGTGTACTTATTCCAATGTGGAAATGACATTTTGTAATTAGTTTTCACCAGTTCCCTAATTTCCCAAGGCTGGCAAAGGCTCTTCTAGATTCTTTGATAATATTTTGCTGAGACATGACATTGTGTATTTTTTGCATTCAGTAATTGGTGTTTGTAGTTTTCTAACTATTTATATGCCCTTTTTTCATTAAAGGGTGTCAGGACGATGTTATGGAATGAGTAAGAGGGTTAAACTTGCAATTTTTGGATTTATTTCTTTTAGAAGAAATTATTTGATAGTTTACATTGCTTTACAAGCTGAGCTCCACTTTCCCCTTATTAGTTAACATGTTTTTCAGACACTAACACATTCCTTACCAAGCTTGGGCATTTGTTAGTTATGTCTGTGCTAGATGTTGCTCTCCTCCAAGTGAGAGGGTATGAACTGACGCAGAAGCTTCATGTTTTTTCTGCATCACCTTTTCAGTTTTTCACTTTTCCTGTTCTCAGTGCTCCCTCCTACCCTTACCATTTTACAATCTAAAGAGTTTACTTTTCTCTGATCTCACATAGCTTGATAACCATAAACCTGGGGTTTATGAACTTAAGGTAGTCTGTGAACTCTTCCTTCTCTCCCTGCTAAATTTTGGAGTGGTTGTGTAAGTGCATTTATTTATTTTTGCAACATACATACAGAAGAGCATGTAAAATTTGTAAATTATAAAGTAAAAACTCTCGTGACTCATGCTCAAGTCAAGAAATAGGATATAGTCAGTTCCTTAAAAATGGATTCCCATCCCTTCCAGACTTAGCCTCCTCTCTCCCCTACAGGTAACCCTTTTTTTTAACCTTTGTGATTATTATTTCCTTTTTATTCTGTATAGTTTTACCATACACATATGCATCTCTATAAAATATTGTTTAGTTTTACCTTTTTAAAATCATAATAAGTGGAATAATCCTGTATTTTATCTACCCAGCAGAAAGCAAGTAATGACTTGAGATTATGAAATGTCTGGAATGGGTTCTTTTCATTCAAAGGCCAAGAGCCCCAGGCAGGTTCTGAGCACAGGACAGTCCTTGTAGGGCATCCTTGGAAATAAATGTGTGTGTGTTTTTAAAATGATATTTTTTATTTTTATTTTTATTTTTTTTTTGAGACGGAGTCTCGCTCTGATGTTAAGAAAATTGGGTTTGGCCGGGTGCGGTGGCTCAAGCCTGTAATCCCAGCACTTTGGGAGGCCAGGGCGGGCAGATCATGAGGTCAGGAGATCGAGACCATCCTGGTTAATACAGTGAAACCCCATCTCTACTAAAAAAAAAAAAAATTTACCCGGGTGTGGTAGCAGGCACCTGTAGTCCCAGCTACTCAGGAGGCTGAGGCAGAAGAATGGTGTGAACCTGGGAGGTGGAGCTTGCAGTGAGCAGAGATGGAGCCACTGCACTCCATCCTGGGCGACAGAGCAAGACTCCGTCTCAAAAAAAAAATTGGGTTTGATTAATCACAATTTCATCTTACAACAGAGGATGATAGTTGATCTTGTGCTCACCTTCTTTATAAAATGTATTTGTTATGTTTTCCAGCTTTTAAAGTAATAAAATACATGATTCTAAAATTAAAAGTTCAGTTGATTTTTTTTTTTTTTTTTTTTTGCAGAATTATAGGCAATCAAGTACTGAGGTCAATTCAGTGAAGGTTTATTTTTTATTTTTTTTTATTTTTTTGAGGCAGTCTCGCTCTGTTGCCCAGGCTGGAGTGTAATGGCGTGGTCACCACTCACTACAACTTTTATCTCCCAGGTTCAAGCGATTCTCATGCCTCAGCCTCCAGAGTAGCTGGGATTACAAGTGTGCACCACCATGCCTGGCTAATTTTTGTATTTTTAGTGGAGACGGGGTTTCACCATGTTGGCCAAGATGGTCTTGAACTCCTCCCACCTCAGCCTCACAAAGTGCTGGGATTACAGGGACCACTGCACCCGGCCAGTGAAAGTTAATTCTGTAGCAATTCATGATGCATGAAATTAATAAGCAGATGCAGGAAAGTAAATAGGGAGCAGAGAGTATTCCCTTGTTTGGGTTTCATGTGCTGAGGCTAAGGTGTCGTACATCTGGCACTATGTGAAATATTTACTGTTGATGGTGGTATCCAAGATCCTTAATTGCCTGACCTGAGAGAGAGTGGTAATATGAAAACTAGACACAACACCTGAATTCTTGGGGGTGTCTTACTAATCCACCGAATGCTCATCACAAAAAAGGAAGAGAGGATGTGGGTACAGTAATCCAGTGGTTCTCAAACTTTTGCCACATGTATCAGAATTCCCTGAAGGCCTTGTACACACTCAGTATCTGATCACTTGGTCTGGGATAGGGCCTGAGAATTTTCATTTTGACACATTCCCAGATAATATTCATGTTGCTGGTTCAAAAGGATGATGCACTTTGCAAACTCCACATAATTAAGAGAGAAATCACACCCCAACACTGATTGTTAAATTCTAAGAAATAGTTCCTTTGGCTAACTTGTCCTTTTTAGTAGATCAGATGAAAACCCATGAGACAAACATGGAGATTTCCACAGACTAACATATGGGACTTAGTTTCCATTGTGGATTTCCTCAGTAGCTTAAAGGATTTCATGGTTGATTTATACAGCCTGGCAATTATGATCAACTTCATTTTTGTTTCTTGTTTTTTTTCTTTGTTATTGATTGCATATTCTTCATCTCTATCTGCACAACTAAGATTGGTGTGTTAGTGCCACTGCGTTAGTGCTAGTTAGTGCTAGCCAAGGGCAAGAAGTGGAGGGTGGGGGGAATAGGCAGACAAGATTGGGTGACCAACTCTTCCCAGTTTCCCAGGACTGTTCCAGCTTTTAAAACTGAAAGTGCCCCATTTATGGAAACTCCTCAGTCCCAGGCAAATCAAGGATAGTCACCATAGTGGAAAGGTAGCTTGGGTGGGGGAAGAAGTGAGGATAAAGGCTACTGATAGTGTTATTTATACTAACATCCCTCTTTTAGTCCAGGTCCTTTTTTCACTCAACATTAAGTTTGTAAGATTTATTTTTATTGTTACGTGTAGCTGTGGGTTTTTGTTTGTTTGTTTTGAGACAGAGTCTTACTCTGTTGCCCAGGCTGGAGTGCTGTGGTGTGATCTCGGCTCACTGCAACTTCTGCCTCCCAGATTCAAGTGATTCCCCTACCTCAGCCTCCCAAGTAGATGGGAGTACAGGTGCATGCCACCATGCCCAGCTAAGTTTTGTATTTTTCGTAGAGACGGGGTTTTGCCACGTTGCCCAGGCTGATCTCGAACTCCTGACCTCAGGTGATCCGCTTGCCTTGGCCTCCCAAAGTGCTGGGATTACAGGCGTGAGCCACCATGCCTGGTCGGTTTTTTCTTTGTTTTGTTTTCATTGTATAAATATATACCACAGCATTTTGCCTATTATTTTTTATTGATTTATTGGAGTTCTTTGTTTACCCAGGAGTCTCAACTTTTGTTCGTTATGTGTGTTACAAATATCTTCTTCAACTCTGGCTTACTTTTTCATTTTCTCTATGGTTTCTTTTGATGTGGAAATTCTTCATTTCAGTATAGATGAATTTATGAATCTTTTCCTTTATAATTTGTGTCTCTTCCCCCCTCACCCTCATTAAGAACATGATTTCTATCCAAGGTCATGAAAATATTCTCCTATATCTCTTTTATTGTCCCCTAAAAGCTTTGTAGCTTTCCTTGGGGAGAAATGCCATAGCATTCATCAGATTCTCAAAAAGATTTGAGAATCTCTGCCTGACATACAACATTTTAATATTATTTCTCCAAAGGGAAGATATGCAAGATTGAGG